ACGTTGAAGACCGCTGGTTTAAACTACCTCCAGGGGAATTAGAAGGCTGTGTTTCACCTAAATGTCGATATGTTCCACCAACCCAAAGAGCTGCTTGATTTGACGCACTAAACCTGCTTCCATTGTGCTGAAGTCTGTATCGCAAACAATCAATGTGCTTTGATTATTTTTTTTTTTTAAACATGATCTGTTTTTAGTAACATTTTAGCACATTCTTTCTCCCTCACATTACTACGGTGACGTGTAACTGTTATTTTCCTTTTGTAACTTATTTGTTCTTTTCTTCGCTGATAATCTGTACCTTGTTTTTATTCTTTTACTGTTTGTATCCAAGTCTCTTCTTTGTGCTGTTTGAAGGAAGTTTTGAAAGATAAATCCTTTACTCTGTAGTGTTAAAAGAATACTTTCATTATTGATTATGACAGACTGGGCTGTGTACACAGTTTATTTTACAGTGATCATTTTAAATATTTCTTCCTAAAGTGAAAACAACTGATGTAGTCTGGGATTCAATATTATTTTTCTACTGTAAGGAATATCAGTCAGTAGGAATAGGCTGTATGTACAACTGAAAAAACCCACAATAAAGAGTTGGACTGTGTCTTAAAATGGTTTATTTTATTTTAAATCATGTAGACATAAGGAACTTACCTATCGTAATGCCTGGTAAAAGTCTGAAAACAGTAAAAAAAAAAACAATTGATCTCCCTTAAGATCACTTTTCAAGATGGTCCAAACTGACAAAGTCAAATATTCATTAAACAATTTTAAACCCTTACTGCCAAACTACAAAACGTTCCAAACATATCACATCTGTTACGTTTTGAGAATAAGTTTCTGCAGAGGCTGCTGGAACAACGTTCAAGGGATCGAGTTTTCCTAATTACTCTCACTTTAATAGATTTCCATTTTCATTGGTTTTTAAATGTTTCCAAACTAATGCAGAAACATACATAAACTGCAAATGTTATTAATAAAGCTGGGGAAGATTCTCAGTCGTCCAGCTCAGAGTCTTTCCAAAAAATCCTTTGTTGTTTGTTGTTGACTTTGTTTCCAAGTCTGAAGGCAATTCAAAATTTAGAATTTTAATATTGAACATTTAAATTCTTAATGCGTGTATTCGGCGTCAGGCACTGATCTTTATTTATAAATAATAATTATATTAGTAAATAAATAGATAAATTAATAAATAGAGATCAATGATAGTTGTTTTTTTTTGTGTGCAAACTTTATTTACAAATACAGAATATACAATTGCAAACAGTTGTATGCTCGAGGTGCTGGGAAAACAAATCCACAGGATTCCATGACAAAAAAATAGAGAAAATAAACAACAGTTTACAAATGAAATGCATCACTTAGGGTTGTAAGTTTCACAGTTGCTGCACATTTTTAAGAAATCCAAAAAACATCTTACATAAGCTCTAAAAACATGGAGGTTGGGGTTGTTTTTTTAACAAATTTACAGGCATGTATGTGGAACTTTGCCAACAGAATAAGAACGTTTATGAGATATTCTTTCCCGGACATACTGTTATTGGAAAAAACAAAGGAAACATGTTTGACATTTAAAGGAATAATTATATTTAAATTTAACATTTAAAGAAAATGTTAAAGTTACAACAAAACATTTTACTGAAAGTGCATTCCCAAAATAGGCGGGTTCATGTTTCTTGTTTGATGTGACAAAAAGGAACAGGATCAATATTTGGAAAATGTTTATTAAATTCTGAATGAACAGGGTAACACCTGTTTAAAGGACACCTCCTGTACTTTTTTAGAGAGGAAAAAACTTTCTTGGCAACAACCATGTATGTTCCCAATCAATATCTGAATAAAGATTATTAATGCAGATTATTGATGCAGGTTTGCTGATATTATTCCTCTGGATGATTTCTCTAATTTGTTTATTTCCAGTTTTAATGCTAAGGAACGGATCTGAATTACCAATAAATAACTCTGGAAATCTGGGATATTGGACATAGGCTCTACCTGAGGATCATATAGGAAAGTTCAAAGCTGCTGGAATAGAGCAGAAAACAACTGAAAATTCTTTAGGGGTCACAGGGAAATTATATTTATTAAGAAATTCACCTTAATCAAACAGTTGACTATTCTCATTAAACAGCTGTTTTACAAATAGAAAATCATTATCCACCCAATTCTTAAGAAATATGGATTTATGCTTGAAGCAAATATTTTGGTTATTCCAAACATAACAGAAAAGTTATGCTTATAAACGAATGTTGAGGATAAAAGTAGTTAGATCATTTAACAGGGAGCTTTTCTATTTTATAGTTACATCTTAATAAAAACTCTAGATTTAAAGGCTGATCAGTGGCAGCGCTCAATTCACTGACGTGATCGGAATTTGCGACAGTGTTGCAAACCGTGTTTGTTTTACTGCCGGTGTGCTCCATGGAAACACGCTCACCCCTCACGCTTTGTTTACATGCTTGGGTAAGTTTGTTTTCCTCACAAACAGCCGCCTTCACCTTTTTTCAGGCTTTGTGTTTATTTATTTAAGTAAATTACTGACCCGCGCGTGGCTGCGGCTGATCTGAGGATTGTGATTATTTGATTCTGGAAGCTAAAGTTTAGCCTTATTAGCTTCCATATTACAGCTACAGCTCCCAGAACAGGAGCAGAGTGTGAATCATTCCACATCAGACCTGAATTTCTCTCTTTATCTGCGTTTTGTTGTTCAGGGAGCAAACAGCTACGGTCAGCTGGGACAGAACCATGCGGAGGACCAGAGCAGACCGAGGCTGTCTGACACCGAGGCTCTGCGGGACCAGACGGTCCGGACTGTGGGCGGAGGAGGGGGACACTCCGTCGTTCTCACCGGTCAGTTTGTTTGTTTTCCAAGAAATAAACTGACGGTTGTTGAGACCAAAGACAGGATCTGTGGTTTAAATCACTTCACAGACATACACTATAGGAGGGGAAATGGCGACCCCTGCTGGACGAATTATTAAACTGCGATTAAAATAAAAGCTCTCAAAGAGGTGATAGAATGCAGGGTTTCCATTGTCATAGATAATTAACAATAGTTTAGTGGCTGAAATAGACGCACAGAGAAGTTCAAACCCATCAACTCCTCTTTTCTCTGCAAATCTCACTATTCTAAACTTCCACCATAAAAATTCTATCACCCCTTTAGTGTCAAAGGGAAGTTTAAATGTCAAATCATTCTGTCTCAAACATGTATATAAATGTCCTCTTTATCAGAGCATATTGTCCCAAAATGTAAAAAATTTCTATAAAAAAAAAAAAAAATCGAATGACAACGGTCATCTGTCGATTTTATTAAGCTTGCATATGTTATATTTCTACAATCATATCTTTACTTGTATGTCTTTATTTAAGACCATAAACATGCTATAAAATACAATTTAGATTTATAATAACCGTTTGAAATAAAATGCAGTTTCATTTAAAAAAAAATAATAAAGAGTACTAAGAGCCGCTTAGTTACTGTTAAGTGGAATTTAACATGAGCAGATTGGCTGTTCAGTTATTTTCTGCTTCTTTTATAGTAAATCATTTAAAGGAAAAGTTCGGTCAGTA